ACCTGGTTATTGCACCGGTGCCTTCAATTATGACTTAAAACTAGTTCACATTTAACATTTTTGTAAATTTTGGCCTACAGTTATTACGTTAATTGTTAATATTGAATGTTAACTAAACATCTATACTTATGCATGAGCAACGTTGAATATCGTTTATTTTAAATTTATGAAAACTAAATTTTAACGAAAAATTTAGAGGTTCTCTCGATAAACTGAATTAATATTTTATAGTGAACTTGATTAAACAAAATTACTATGGCCGTAATTTGCAGAATAGTATTGAATATAATTAAATGTATACTCAATGATACATATAATAATAGTATCCATATTAAGGCTGTCTTATAATTTTAGAACAACAATTTAGGTACCTGTTGCATATTCAGCATTTACATTGTATACTAAACGTTTATATTAATAATAATAATCATAAGTATCATATTACGATCGGTGAGGATTGTCCATCGGTCATTAGCAAGTAGACAATTTTATATGTACGTCAGTTCGTTTTATACTTTTCACAATAAAAGACTATAATATACGTTTGTGTTATTATTCATATTAACAATACACAACAAATTGGCGACGAAGATAAAAATGTTGAAACTCATCTCATATTAAATTAAAATATTTATAAAATGGGTGAGGATAACAAAAATATTACTCAATTCCATAATATAATAGGTTCACCAGGAACATTTGAATCTGGAAACGACATAACAATATTTGAATCAAGACTTACAAATTTTTTCATTGCAAACGGAATAAGTAACGAAGTCCAGAAGAGAGCTATACTACTATCTTCAATTAGTGAGGAAGTTCACAAAATATTATTCAGTTTATGCGTTCCAGCCAAACCAGACGTTCAGACATACGACACACTATTAGGTTTGTTAAACAATTATTACAAGCCAGTGAAATCGTACTTCGCATCAAGATATGCATTCTACAACGCAAAGCAGAGACCAGACGAAACTGTAGCTGAATGGGGAGCAAGAGTAAAGAACCTAGCATCAAAATGTAATTTTTCAACGGAATTACAAATTGTAATCCGTGACATTTTTGTTGTTGGTATGAACGCGGAACCAATTCAAGATCGATTACTAGAGGAAGATGCCTCAAAAATAAGCATCACATATTTGCACCTTATGGAAATTTCTGCTGCAAAAGAATCTACAATCAACAATAAAACCGGATGGATAAAGGAAGAAGCTGACTTCGAATATCAAAAACAAAGCCAGCAAGCAAAATCAGCCAAGCAGTCAATCACGGAAAAATCAAAATGTGGAACATGCGGTCGATCAAACCACACACAAAAAGAATGCCGATACAAGGACTACAGTTGTAATATTTGCAATATCAAAGGCCATTTGGCTCCTATGTGTAAAAGTAAGAACAATAAACCAAAGTATGATAACCGTTCACACAATAAATTTTTATCCGAAAATTCTGGTAATAACACGAATGAAAATATTCATGATCGCGTACAATTTATCTGACACTTTTTTTAATATGATTGAAAATAACTTTCAAAATAAAGTAAAACCGTACATTATCAATTTATTAATAGAAAATAAAGATTTAAAATTTGAAATAGATACGGGGGCTGTGCATAGTGTAATGTCAAAACAATTATATGATACAAGTTTTAATAATTTAACTTTATTTCCAAACGATATTTCCCTACGCGATTACGTCGGAAATGATATAAGCCCAATAGGAAAATTAATAGTAAATGTTAAATATTTGAAAAAGTCTTTTAAAATGTGCATTTACGTAATTCAAAACGGAGGACCGCCATTAATTGGTAGAAATGATTTATGATTAAAAATAATAAACTATTCTCCCATTTATAACACTATAAATGTAAACGAAAATATAGAGAATATATTAAAAAATTTCGAGCATTTATTCAAAAATGAAATCGGCACCTTTAATAAATACCAAATATCGCTAAACATTAAAAAGGTGGCAATACCCAAGTTTTTCAAGCCAAGGTCAATTCCTTTAGCACTAAAATCTAAGGTAGAGTCGGAAATTGATCGTTTAATAGATAAGTATCATCCTTGATAAGTGATATATGGCGTAACGAATAGATTCCTAACGATTGGAAGACAGGAATCACTTGCACAATCTTTAAAAAGGGAGATATCGGAATAGTGTATAGACTCGAGAGTTCAAGAACTGATGCCCAACATTGACAAACTGGCCAACGATTATACATCAAATGTCAAGAGATACTCGGTAGAAAAAAGGAATGAAACTATCCAGCAATCAATGTGGCATTGACAAAGCGAAAGAATATGGTGGGGATAAAGTTCAACTGCCGATAGAAAACTAAGGACAAAGAAGTTAAAAATAATAGCGCATCAAGTGAGGAAGAAATCGTTACTCAAACATCTGAAAAAAAACAATTGAAAAATTGATTTATGAGGAATCCGTGGTTTAACCAGATATGCGAAAATGTCTTGCAGCGTAGGAAGCAAGCGAGGGAAGTTTGGTTAAAGGATATTCAAAATGAAGAAAAATTCTCTAGATATAAAACAAGACTAAAAGGACAAACTGGCCAACGATTATACATCAAATGTCAAGAGATACTCGGTAGAAAAAAGGAATGAAACTATCCAGCATACAATGTGGCTTTGACAAAGCAAAAGAATATGGTGGGGATAAAGTTCAACTGCCGATAGAAAACTAAAGACAAAGAAGTTAAAAATAATAGCGCATCAAGTGAGGAAGAAATCGTTACTCAAACATATGAAAAAAAACAATTGAAAAATTGATTTATGAGGAATCCGTGGTTTAACCAGATATGCGAAAATGCCCTGCAGCGTAGGAAGCAAGCGAGGGAAGTTTGGTTAAAGGATAGTCAAAATGAAGAAAAATTCTCTAGATATAAAACAAGACTAAAAGGAGCAACCAAAATTATAAGATGCGAGAAACAAAAATTTATCATATACATATAGAGAAGTGCGGACCAGGACTATAAAAATCATAGGACACGAGACCTATACAAGAAGATCAGCTCTTTAAGCAAGGATTTTAAACCCTTGAAGAAGAAAAGAAATGTTTTTAAGAAACGAAAATGACTTTGTTGACGGATAGAGACGACATAGTCGAGGAATGGGCTCAATACTTCAACCAGCTGCTAAACTGTAGAGAACACACTAATCCATTCCTCTTTAAGAACAAAGAACCGAATAGGAAAGATCATCCCGAACCTACGATAGAGGAAATTGAGAAACAAATAAAAACCCTAAAAAAACCACAAGTCGCTCGGTGAAGATGGGATTACTGGAGAGCTACTTAAAACAGGTGCTGATAATCTTGTTAAATATATTCATCGATTAATAAGTTTAATATGGCAAAAAGAAGAGATACCAAAGGAATGGAAAACAGCCTTAGTCTATCCCATCCACAAGAAAGGAGACAAACAAATATGCAACAATTATAGAGGGATTGCCCTGCTTAATGTAACGTATAAGATTTTATCTTACTGCATACTTGACAGAATAAAACCTCGGCCGAAGAGATTATAGGAGACTACCAGGCCGGTTTCAGGCAAAACCGCTCCACGATAGATCAAATCTTCATTCTACGTCAGGTGTTACAAAAAACTTGGGAGTATGACAAAAGCGTACATATGGTTTTCATTGATTACAAAAGAGTGTATGATTCAATACATAGAGCGTCCCTAATCAAGACTTTAGAAGAGTTCGGAATGCACAGTAAGTTGCAGTAAGTTACTCACAGCCTTGTCGAGTGCAGTATTAGTCACACTGACATAAAGGTAAAAGTAGGACAAACCATATCGAAAACAGTTCAAGTGACAACTGGACTAAGGCAGCGTGACGCCATATCACCGGTTTTTTCAACATAGTATTAGAAAAAGTAGTTAGAGAAGCAGCCTTAGATAAGGAAGGAGTAAAACTAGAGAAAATAACATTGGAATATTGGCATATGCAGACGATATAGTCTTGATGGTTTAAAAGATAAACTTAAAGAACAATCAAAAAAACTCATAAATGCTGCTAAACGTGTAGGCCTAGAGACTAATGCTGAGAAAACTGAGTATATGGTTGTGCAAAGACATGAACAAATAGGCTGTCGTAACGAGGTGCTAGAAGTCGAAAACTACAAATTCAAAAAAGTGCAGCAGTTCAAATACCTTGGCACACTAATTACACAGTAGAATTAAATAGCAAGAATACAAGCTGCCAATAAATGTTATTTTCGCCTGACAAAGTTACTAAGATCTAGAGTAATCTCCAAAAATCTGAAGCCCCAAATATACCAGACACTTATCAAGCCAGTGGTGACTATAGGTCGGAAACTTGGACCATGAGGAAAAAAGACGAAAATGCTCTTTTAGTGTTTGAAAGAAAGGTATTGAGGAAAATTTATGGACCATGTATAGACGAACCTACAGGTGAATGGAGAATACGTAAAAACAAGGAACTTCAAGATTTGTATCAAAGACCAAGCATTAAAGAAGATACACCAAAAGATGACTGAAGTGGGCAGGACATTCTTGGAGAAAAACCTGGTCATTGATAAAAATAGTACAAGAGAATGCACCGAAAGGAAAACGACCACTTGGAAGGCCGAGGTTGCGCTGGGAAGATAGAATCAAAGAAGACATAGAGAAAGTGAGACCAGGATTGGATTGGAAGGCGTTAGCTTTAAATAGGGAAACATGGAGACAAATCTGTTGGACGACATGGTCTTGAAGGCCGAAGTCACGGAAGAGAAAAAAAAGAAAAAAATCTTTTTCATTGGTATATGACTACAGTACTGCAGAGGATATTATAAGAAACTTTCCCTAGGCAAAATTATGAAATACAATTTTGTGCAGTGCCAGATTTTTATAGTTAGAACTTAAAATAAAAATTAGATTCCAAAAAGTATCAAACAAAACATGACATTACAATTACACATGATTTAAAAGTACCAATGGTAATACCAACACAATGAATTAAACTTAAGAAAATATTGATTTGCTACCTAAACCGCATTTTTAGGACTCTGTTACATCTTTCTATTACACTTCTTACATGCATTTGGTTTTTGTTGTAATTTTCTTCAGCTGCTGTTGTTGGTTGAGCAATTGGCGTTAGGAGCCATGGGCGTAGAGGATAACCAGAATCACCTATCAAAATATATAAAAAAGTTTGTAATAATTATACTTAAGATATACATATTGTTCTAATTAATTTTTTTGTCAACTGCTTGTATCAAAAGACCACTTTGAGTTGTGAGAAAATTAATAATAATTAATAATAATTATCTTCCTAGTAGGTACACAAATTATTATGGTTAGCTAGTAATTAGTATTATTAAATAAAACTTACCTAATAAAAAGTAGTCACTATAATCATGTGTATGTAGTTCTTCGAGCATGTTTGAAACATTGCTGTTGTTCCATATGTGGACATCGTTAGTACTTCCGGGAAACAGTGCGTTTACGTTCAGTACTTTTAGATTTGAATCACATACCTATATTTAAAAAGTTAAGCATTGTGTGGTTACTTTGGAAACATAATTTATGATTTACTAGTAATTTTATAATAGTAGGCAATCCTACTTACTAGATGAACATTAATTGAATGGTAACTCTTGCGGTTGACATACATATATTCTGGATATCGATTTTCAACAAGATCCAAATTTTTCGAAGGAGATACAATAGCTATGTGGGTACAATCTAAATGGCCTACTGACGTTTGATATGACCCGGTAGCAAAAAAATTTAAAGCTACTAAAACCTAAAAAAAAGATTATTATTAGACTTTAGAGTACAAATGACAATAAAGATAAAATCCAGTTTAACGCTCACACAAATTCTTTTTTTTCCGAATCCCATGTATTTCAATGTGGGTATCGTAAATTTAAATTAAAAAATTTGAATGTACACTAAACTAGATAAATAATTATACATTTTTACTTTACTTTTGTTTGAATATCGATAGAGGATAATCGGCTATCAACAACAATGTACGGTTTCAATAAATTAATTAAATACCGCGTTGTTTCTTTTGATAGCCGAAAATTCTTAATGAACAGTCAATCAGTCGACGCAAAAGCATCACAAGTTGGTCTTTGAAAATTGTTTCTTGTGTAATTCATTTGTTCATTGATGTTGACGAAATATGCCATAAAATCGAAACCATTGCACGCCACTATTGTTTCTATGGGTAGAGTAGGTACTTGAGTCGTCGTCAGTCGTGTACCTACTAGGATGACGTGTAGTTTCTAAATATTATTTCGTTTCATAACAAAATGTCGGCCTCCGCGGAGGGCACGCCGACAACAATTTTCGTGATAAAACAATATTATAATGCGACAAAGGATGTTATCACCCTTCAAGACCCAGTCGACAAATTGTCGAATGAATATTTGTTCGACAAAATTGTTTAACTTTTCGAAAACAACATTCTTTTTAATTCGTGCGACGAACGTGTTTATCGCATACGACAAATGGTCGAATGATTTCGAGGTTAGGTCCCTCTTGTCCCACTTATTGCTCCTCGCTCGTCGTCTGGCGTCTGTCCGCTCCTCACCGCTCCCTCCGTTCAAAAAACAGCTAACCGGCGTTACCCACGTCGCGGTCGAAGAAGTCGCCATCGTTTCAGTCATGACAAAATAGATTTCGTCATGGTTTCAGTGGCCACGTACTCATGGATCCCCCGCCGAGTGGCCGACACTTTTTGTTAAAACGAACAAACCTATTACTCCGGCATGTCTTCAAGGCGAGTGTCAACTAATGTTTACGAGCGTACAAGGCCGTCCACTGCGCGTTCACTTTGTTCGCCTTCACTCGGTTTTTACCCGTGGATTCCATCGTTTGCGCTCGCTGTTCCCATATTATCGTCGAGACGGACCGCGCGATCGCGTGACGGACCTGTGTACATTTTCGCGAAATCGAAATTAAAAACGTGACCCGCACACCATCGTTCTAAATGGCGTCGCCGCCGCCGCCACCGCTATCGTCCAAATATTTTGTGCTGGTTACGGAATAACGTTTGACAAAATATCACGAAAACCATTTGGATTATACGGTGTGGATAAACGATATTCCGATCGCGATTCTCAACTGTTCACGTTCTAATGTTTACACTTGCGTTGTTGCGCACAGCCCGAAGAACGACATTGAGGTTTTGAGAACACGCGTACCCACCTACGTTGCCACCGACAAACTGTTAGCGCGCGCCGCGCGCAGCGCCCTCGTCCGCGTCCGCTTACAAATCAAAATCAAAAACATTATTTAGATTTATATATACAGGGCGCCCGGTTCGATAATGGAGCACCGGGTTACACTGTAAATATAAATAAAAATATGATAATGCACAGAATTTAATCGGCTATACGAATTACGAATACCTATAGTCGTATAATAATAATATAATATAGTTATTAGTTTTAGTTAATAGTTAATACCACGGTTTAAGATATCTTAACACGTCACGTTATATTATGTTGATTATTAATGATTTTTTACCTTCTACAAATACATTCTACCGTTTGGATATTTAGCATTTATTGAGGCCAATGTGAGTGGCGGCGCCAGAACTTTAATACCAGGTGGGCCAAGCTGGGGCCCAAATTTTTTAGGGAAGGCCAAATTGTTGACTTGATATATATATATGTATATAAACAATAGTGATGACAGGCAAATGCACAGAGGGGTGAGGGGGAGGGTCAACTTCCAATTTTTTTTACACTTCATCGTGTAAACTTACTAAAACAATGATTTGTAAACATGTATTGTATTAATAGTATTTATTTCCTAACAAAATATATATTCATGTAAACACTTTTTAATTTTTATACTCCCTAACCCATAATTACACTCAATACCAATGAATATTTAATAATAATTTATTATTTTCGTATTCAGCCGCTGGAAAATACACGTTATTACTTATTTATGAGGCTTGAAAGCATATTATAGTGCGTATAGTTTTCAACCCATTCAAAATGTTGTTCACGCCATCTATTATGACTTAATATTTTCATATTTTAATAAATCATGATTTATACATGAGATATTTATTAGTATTCTAATATGATTAAATTTAATTTTTGGAGTGGGCCACAGGGGGGGCCGGAGACTTTTTAAGTTACAAAATAATCAACATAATTTGTGTCTTTGTAGACCTCAAAACAACTTTCAAATTCCTCAAACGATTTAAAAGTGTCTAGGAGTTTCATACTTATATTATAATAAACTTTAAATAACTTTTGAAAAACAAAACACACACTTTGAAAACTAAAAATACTGTGAATAAACTTCTATAGGTAACTGTGAAAAAACTCGTATAGGTACTTGTCATGAGGTTATACAATTTAAGGGAAAGGTTAGTAAAGGCCAAATAAACAATTAAAGTTTTCCTAATAAAATAACTATTATTATATATTTATAGTGTGACCCGGTGCTCCATTTTCTATCCGGGCGCCCGGCGTTCTAGACACAGCGTACATTGTAATATGTGGTCAAACTTACACATCTCCTGATACATAATTTCTAAAAGGTATATTAGAAGTACATTTTATATATTATTGTGTAAGATCGAACAGTTAATTTAAGTTTAACATATTCTATCTAATCTAGCCCTCTGCAATATATTTTTTGGGAAACATTTGTTACTTTTGTTTGTCTTTCAAACGGCAATTACATATAGTAATGGGTTCCCATTCACCTAACCTCACCTAACCTGTTGCTAGTTTAATACACAACTTTCGTTTTACCCATTAGTATTGTGGTGCTGCTATATATTTATGCTCTATTATGTCTGGGATCTTTTTTTAATGGAAATTATCGGATTCCTATCTTATTGACTAACTTATTTTTGGGTATTTATTTTGTTTTGTAAGTTGTTTATAATTTTTATTTTAAGGTTTTCTTCATTTTTATTTTTATTTCAATACAAACATACCTGCATATTATTAACTATTTAAATAACAAACAATAATATGTAACTAAAATGGTATAATCAATGATCAATTCTTTTTTTCAAGTATTTAATCACTTAAATACAATTATTGATGATGAAATTGAAAATAAAAAAGACCTATCTTGTGCTCATTTATTCATTAGATAGTAGATACCACTTATATGGGTAGGTATGGAGGTGCTAATTACATTTTAGGATGGATGTATATAGTATGCACTGTACTGTGTATACTCTAATCTAAATATCCCGGAATAGATAAAATATATACCTCACAAAATATATTGATCAATTAAAATATCCTTTTTAATAATTTGTTAATAAATAATAATATTAAATAATTTTTTATGTTATTATCATATATACCTAGTTAATGTGTTTTTGATATTCGGAGTGTGATTTCAATACTAAATTTTGAATAGCGAATAAAAAATAATTCAAAATATTACTACACTGTCCCAAAATTTCAAATTGTTGGAACAAACAAGAATTTGAATAAATCTTAGATTATCTATGACTACACTAGTACTCTACCAATAACATTTAAGCACACTTATAAACATTTTACCTATTTGTTGAGTACAACTTAAATTAAACTAAGTTCCTATATTGAAACTATTAAATATTTTAGACCAATCCTAAAACTTTGGAAGGTATTGAATATCAATATTTTTTTTTATACAATTTTATGATACAACTATAGGATAATAAACTTTTGTTTTTCCGAAAAACCAAGTATAAAGAACAAAGCTTACTATGATAAATCATGCCAATAGGTATAGTTATTTGTGTGATTCTTCTGAAACTGTTTCTTCAACATCTTGAAATCAATTACAGTGAGTGTTAATACAATTTGTTTCCTTATTCACAGTGTCAGTGTTGTATAAAAATACTTTTAAAAAGTTTTTGAGTAGTATATTTTATTATACTATTAAAAAATAGTATTTAAAATATAACTAAAAATTTTTTTTGTTATGCGTTTAATATTTGATTATTAAATACTGTTTATTTTTATCAATTAGTACCTACATTTTATTAACTTACATAATTTGGGTTTTTTTTTATCAAATTTCTTCATTTTAAATACAGTTTGTTATACCTCCAGTACCCTTTTAAATTGCAAATATCAGTAAAGCTTTGTTTTAGGGTTTTGTCAGTTAAATTTAAATTACATATTTACAAAATAATAGTTAAACAAAAATAATTATTATAGCACTATATTATGGAAACTTGTATAAGTTAGAGATATTGTTGTACTATATTATTTATTAATATTAACAATGTATAATAATATATTTGTTATGTTCGTCTTATAAGTCCGCAAATTTTACATTTAGCAGATCAAGTTTAGCTCCGTTAGTTTAAAAATTAGAGTGAATTGACCTTTTATAAAATGTCAAGGTAATATTGGAATCGTCTAGGCTTTTTTTTATATTTTAATTTTAAAGAGATTTATAAATATTTTAAAATGGTAAATTGTTTTTCTATTTTAAAATACTCATAACTTGCTTTAAAATTAAAATATAATAAAAATCCTATGAGATAACCTAGATAATAACCTTACTTTTCAATTGTATAAGAGGTCTATTCACTCTAATTTTTAAACTAATGCAGCTAACTGTGATCTGCTAAGCATACAATTTGGTAAGTTACAAACTTGTAGGACTTAGACAACGAATATCTGTGTAGTATTCTCTTGAATTAAAAGTAAAAATATTGATGTACTTATAATTTATTTGAATTAATGTTTATTGCTGACAAACTAAAAGTATTGGCCTACGGATTGACGTGATGATTTTTGGTATCATCAGTAGCAAAGTTATTTAAAATCAATGATACATATCTTTTATATATTATTATTAACATATTAATGTTATTTTGTTCCATAAAGAGTGGCTGTGGACGTACACTTTCAAAATCAACAATTACAAATAGTGGTTCATTACAAGCTCTTCGTCAAGAGATCAGGCTTGAGAAGGACGAAGAAATTGACAATATTGACACAGTGAATGATATTTCTGACACAATATCAATTGCACAAATTACTCGTTCCGCTGTATTCTTTATTGAAGTCAGAAGAAAATTGTGGATCAAGTTATTTGTGCGACTGATTCTAGTGGCCAGTTGAAATTTTTGATGAAGTGGAGAGGAATAGAAAAATTCGATTTAATGCCTGCTAAACTTTTGTGAGGAAAAAATTACATGGAATTCCGTCTCTTGAAATATAACTGGTGTTTAACTATTATAATATGAATAAGGATTACATGCGTTGAAAAAATAACATTTATTTTATATAAAATCCTATTTTCAATTATTTTATTTTTTGATTATATGTGGCAGTTAAGCCTTACAAATATAAATATCAGTTTATCTATTGTAATAGTTAAATGTTAGTAACTAAATATAATTTCAAGAAATGGAATTTTTTTTTTGTATTTAAGATTGATAAAATTTAACGATACTATTTATTGTTATTAATATTATCGGTTTATATAATTAATATTAATAAATAACTTATTCATTTTGAAATTTTTCATTATTTTTTTGTTTAAATTATAATGTTATATTGAATTATTTTATCTTAAAGGCAAAAATTATATGTTAATTTAAGTTTATTTTTTTGTTCAAATATTGGCCTTAAACATTCTTGATTTGTTTTTTTTAAACATTAAAGTATTTTCCACCATATTATTTTATCTTTTATTATAACTTTTAAAGATAAGTTAAAATTAATAATATATTTCAAGAATTCCCATTTCAAATCTATTCTATTTCTGATTATCTATGTTAATAGTAGTTTTTTTTTTTATTTCATCAAGGTGAAAAATTGTATATACATTAAAATAAATATTTGTAAATAATTTTTATAATGTATTCACCACTAAAACGTTTATTGATTATACAGACTACAGTTGAATATAAATATAAATATTTTTGCGCATGTAAACTCCGCCACAAAAATTTTATTTTAGTGTAAACTCTGATAGGAAAATAAAACAGGTAAAAATGGGTTCATGTAAACTCTGCCAGTAAAAAGATTAAGTAACAGTGTACACTATACAATTTATGTAATATACTGATTATTATTAAACAAAAAACCATAGTTGTATAATAATAATTATCTTTATTAAATACGGATATGCCAAAAAATATATAAAAACTTAAAAATAAAAATAATAATTGTTCAAACAAATCATACAAATTGCAATGGCACGTATTATGTTAAAAAATAATGATAGACTGATTGTAATAACTAATAATATTCAAAAAATATGGAGGTATATTATATTATTATGACATTATATGTTATTATACTTACAATATTTTGAACTGTGAACTAAAATTATAAGATACACTTTTGGTAGGCATTCAAACCATTAAGGGGACGTTACAGTGACATTTGTTGTCTCCGTCTTACAAGTGCATAACAGCAAATGTTACGCTCAGCAAAACACGTTTATCTCCCGTTAGTTTAAAAATTAGAGCAAATTGACCTCTTATAAAATTTAAAGGTAAGATTATTATCTAGATAATTACATAGGATTTTTATTATAATTTAATTAATTTTAAAGCTAGTTATGTGTATTTTAAAATTGTAAATTGTTTGTATATCTTAAAATACTCATAACTCGCATTAAAATTAAAATACAAAAAGCCTATGTAATCGTCTAGATACTAATCTTACTTTTAAATTTTATAAGAGGTTAATTTAATATAATTTTTAAACTAAGGGGAGATAAACGTGTTTAGCTGAACGTTAAATTTGCCATGTTACGCACTTGTAAGACGGAGAAAACAAATGTAAATGTGACGGCCCCTTAAGTCTATTATAAATCAATCATTATAAGTTATAACTGTTTAGTATTTATAGCTTTCTCTACACTATATTTTTTTTTCATTTTGAATTTTTGAGTTTACTAGTAGAGCAATATCATTTGGTTTTACATAATAAAGCCTTAATTCTGGGGGAGTTTCCATATACCCATTACAGGTAAGAAAATAAAACTGGCGGAGTTTACATTAGACCTTTTTAACTAACCGGTAGTCTAGTGGAGCTTACAATCGCCCAAATATTTCATGTATCTACGGAATTTATTATAGATATACACCACAATTAAAAATCAATATTGTTAAAATTTTCTGTATTTCCTTATTTTAGATTCTGAGTGGAGCCTAATTAATTAATTTAATATTAAAAAAAAATAATAAAAACCAATTTTTAAAATTAATTAATTAACAACAGTAAATAAAATAAAAAATATAGGAAGAGTACTATAAGATTGCCTATAAACTAAACTCTGGCATAGTTTATAGAATATAATATTTTATGGTACATAATATTAATGAATTATATATATATATATGAAAAATGTAATCTATAGTAATATATAAAGCTGTAGAGTTTGTTGGTTTGAAAGCGCTAATCACAGGAACTATTGGTTCGAATTGAAAAATTATTTTTTTGTTGGATAGTCCATTCATCGAGGAAGGCTTTAGGCTATAAAACATCACGCTATGACAAATTAGTAGAAGCCTGGGGAAGTGCTCAAACAGGGATTTTTGTTTATAAATGGTTGCCATTGGTTAATCGGGCAGACCAGGTACAAGCATGCATCAAATCGAATTTTGGAGCATTGCCTACCAGGGTGGTTGAGTTGCACTTACTGCAATGAGTTACACCCAAAAGGAGTTGAACAATGACAATTTTTTTAAGGGTTGCCATTTTCTTCGGGTCACGAAGTGCGCATGGCCAGCTAGTACATAATAAAGTTATAAAATTAAAAATTGTGTGTTATCTTATTAAATGTGGCAACACAGTAAAACAATAATACTTAAAAATTTTTTAGGAAAATCAGTTTAAATAAGATAAAATAAAATTAATAAAAAAAGAATATATATATAATATAACATATATATATAATTACTATAGTAGGTACTACTACAATATATTGTCACATATTGATGATACGTTTAATGATAAAATATAACATATAACATGTAAGTATATAACATTATTAACATCGCAGTAGATAGGTACCTACTATAAGCTTGTGTATAAATTGTCGTTGACATATTATATAGCTTACCTAATTGAGTAGGTAAACCATTAGGTAGTTTTTAAATAACTACAATAAATCGTCAACAATAAATATATTATAAAGACTTGCGTTGCAGCGTGCGTTCGACACCAAGGTAGTCGCAATACTCTAAGTACCAATATTTTTATGTCTCATTACACCATAGCCTAAATAAAACTCAATAAGATCCTAGTAACTCACCTATTTACACATATAATCACTAACCGATTCCATTAGCTGCTCAAATATTTCTTGGATCATTTTTCAATACTTTTGTAAAAAAATTTAATCTTGATGTCGTTTTTCCTGGTTCTTATTTCTAGTTGGTTAATGTAAAGTTTGCAGCCAAACATTTCCCAGAGCAATTGTTGGGTATGAATCATTTAATGTTGATGGGTTCTTAAGGCTAATAGATTGAAAAATAATTTCGTAATGGGTATTGGGTTGTACTGCAATTTATTTATAAATTTAAATTCACCGTGCATATTATAGTATTATACGAAAACATAGTGAAACAGTCGAGTAAAAAATAATCCTAAAAAATTAAGTTTTCAAAGTATCGCATTAAAGTATCGAATATTTTCTGACAAAATTATTTTGTGAAATACTCGATACATAGTCTAAAAATGTATGGCGATACAGTATACTCGATAGTTCATATAATTGTATCGAGATACAAGATACAATTTTATCTAAGATACAAATCGAAGATACTGCCCAACAATGTCGCTATCCTTATAGTCTAAGCTGGCATTTCTACGTGATGACTCCAGCAACGTAACCAAAGCAGCTGAATTGACTCTTTTGTAATAGGTACTCCAACTAAAATTTGTAATAAAAAAAAAATTATTCTATATTTATGTTCAAATCAGTTAAGTTACTAAACAAGACATACAGCTAAATTGACTCATATATTTAGTTTTAAATGTTCAGACTTTAAAATTCTATTTACTTCATCATACTCTGGCCATTTATCAACTTGTATTTCAATAACCTAAAAAAAAAAATTTTAATTTTGAATTTGTTATTTATTCAAAATTGTACAGACATATAAAACATTTTTTTTTTTTTTACAAATTTATACAGTTATTTTATTACTTAACAATTCTTTATTTTTATATGATTATATATAATAATAATTGGTGTGGTTAATTGTGTCGAAATGCATTTTACTGCTCACCCATCAATGCAGTGTTTAAGGTACCTTAATAATGTAAAATAAAATAAACAGCAATAACATGGAAGTTGACATATTATATAGCTTACCTACCTAATTGAGTATGTAAACCATAAGTTTTTTAATAGCTATGACATTTAAATTCATATATCTGTTACCGTTTTTATTCATTTAATTTATGTTACACATAATATGTGACTTATTAATTAAAATATTATTAGGTATCCACCGAGAAGTCTGGACTCTGGAGAACCACGAGTTTAGCGACTGGAGCCGGCAGAAGAAGGGAGCCACTATACTTGTTATATAACTGTTGTCTGTTCGCACGGTTTATTAAGTTCAAACCTAAGTTAAATCATTTAAATTTGTTTAAAAAAAAGTCTAATCCAATTTTTAAATCCATTCATGTAATATTTATAATGCGTAGATATACACATCAACATATTATTATGTATATGGCTACGTAAGTTGAATTAGATTTTTTTAAGCAGCACAAATCAAACAAATGTTCAATTTGTTTTCGTGAGGGAACTTACATATTACATTGTGTAACCTCTTACCTGCTATGTTCGTGTGAGAAATTACTAAATCTCTGTAAGTATACTCTAAAAAAAATATTAATAAATGTCCCCTCCGGCAGTCCGGAGATGGTATAGTCGAAACCATAACATAATATTATAGTGAGTGTGTCTGCATCGTAACGAAAATCTCTGACAAATTGTAATAAAATGCGGTTGTGATAAATATGAATTTAAAATATATTCCTCTCGAAACCAAATGCAATTTATTATAGGTATTAACTTGTCAATAAATTATTTATTATTATTATTCTATACGGGTACCTGTAATGGTACCATAATATAATGGAAGTAA